ATTACGAGGATACTGTTTCTTCAAGGTCATCTTGATAACTTACTAGGAAACGATGAACCTTCCAACATAAACCGGAAGAGGAACCCGCCCAAGAGCCCAGATCCAAACACGTATAGGTAAGCAACAACTAAAATTGGGACATAAAACAGAAAGTGTTTCTTTTAGTTAACAACATCATGTTAACCTTGAGTACATTTAGTTAACGTGTGACTTAAGTTAGTACCTGATGCTGTCTCGACCTTTGAAAATGCTGAGGAAACTAGAAAGGCTATGGAGATTTGCAGATTTATGAAGAGAAAATAGAAACCGAACTGGAAGCTATAGTCATTAAACAGGAAGAACTTTAGTCCTGCAAGGAAATATAGCTGCTATAATAACCCCAGAGAAGGTAACTTGTTCTATAAGTAATAGCAATGATTCAGTACCTATTGCTGACCCAAATATCATCAAGCATATAATGTATAACGTGGATAGGGCGAGAAAATAGACGTAGGAAATCACCCAATAAGGGCCATCTCCTAGGCCATGCATTTTCATTATAATTCTTAGATGTTGCTGCTTCTCATACACCAATGAGTTTAATATCACCTGCATATAAATGCATGTAATCATGAATGGCCTGCGTCTAATGCTTGATAGGCTTTTGAGAATGCAATTTGCCAACTATATGTCAAATAAACTTACAGGTAGCAGAAGAAGAATAACCCATGTGAAGAATAATGGACCAATTAGAGATGCAATGTCTATACGAAGTTTAGTTTCTTGCTTAGGCATTTCTTTAACAAACTCAAATAACATCTTTGTCCCAGGGCCTTGCAAATACTGAAGATAAGCATTTGACACCTGCAGTTATGCAGAGTTTGAGAATTTCTACATTCTTGAAACTAGTCCTATATCGAATTTTCGTACTACACTTAGTTCCTTACCAAATTGACTAAGCGGGGAACTCGGACCAACTTATAACGCTGATTTCCTTCTTCACCTTTGTACGTTGCATTGTACCATATATTCACATTGAAGTTAGTCCTATCAGTGTCCAAGAGATCGTATGCTAAGGCAAAAGAGAAAAGAAAAACAGAGCATAAACATTCAGAAGTCTCATGTGAATACTAAAGATAAAAGACAGAGAATTCAAATTACAACCTGCAACAATCTCACTTATTTTCCCATCAGAATTCCCTTCCTTATAACCTTTGAAAATCTCATGATTGACCTCTACGGAGCTGTTTCTCCAAAGATTCAATCCTTGAACACATCTCATCTCTGGTTTCAACAAAAAGATTACATAAATCCACTACAAGAGTATTTCTCTAGATGATAACTTTTATTACTAAAGACAATATATAAGTTGAACCAAATGTTGGTTAACAAACTTGAGATAAGCCTAGAAAAGAATGTGATCAGAGACTTTATACCTTTCGTAAAATTGAGAGGTGATTGTCCGAGAGAGAATGAAAAGTTCGAGTTTGGAGGGCACCGAGATTGGATGGTGTAAATGCTAAGATTTGAAACAATCCCTGAATCAAGATAATTGGTTGCACTTGCCTTTAATGTTGTAGCCTGAAACATGCATGAGCTCAAAGTAAAAAAAAAAAGCAAAGACATTCAGATTCATAAACAGAATTTTCAACAAATAAACCAGAAAAGAACTTACCAAGACATTATTAGCTAAACTAAACAAGAGGTCAGAGGAGGTCATTGTAAAAGATCTCCTTAGAAGATTTCTAGATAAAGCTGGAGAAAGCATGAAGTACATTAGTGCCAATGAAAACAATGTAAAATAAGCCTAAAGAAGAAAAGAAGGACACATTCACAAGCTAGCCTACTTTCTCCAAGAGATTGATTATTCCCAGTGAAAAGTATAGTTACAGGACAAGAATTTTTTCGTCTGCACGATTCGTCAGTGAAACTGGAATCAACAGCACGAGCGTGAGAACGCGGAATTAGAATCAAAGGAGGCCATGGTTGTGGTTTTGGGATAGCACAAAAGACTCCTTGATCCCGAGTCGAGTATTCTAAACCACAAATCATTTCGCATTTTCCGTCTCCGAGTTTGTCAATGCATTGACAACCACATTGGTTATCTACAGAGTTATTGACTTGTGAATCGAATAGACCTTGAACAAAAACAAGAACTATGCAGAGGTAGAAAGGGATAATAATAAGTCGAACATTGCTCCATATGTTCCGTTTCTACAAAACCACCAAAGAACAAGCGAAAACATCGGTTTGATGTAGAAATTTTGAAAACAGAGTACCAAGATTGATCAGATATACTACTAGTAGACGCATGTATATGGAAATCAATAGATGTTGACATTTGAAACAGATTATGTACTTTGAAAGTATGGTTATGTAATTATGAATTAACTATGGGAAACGAAAAATTAACACCAAACCTGATAAGTTAAATTTTTTCTAAGTATAGCATTGGCACGCGTCAAGAAGCTGGCTGGACCAGAATCCGCCATTGATGAAGCTTGGTAGCTTCTCTTAATTTTATTTCAGTCTTCTATTCTAACCAGCACCAAAAGCTTTCATTGCGAATGTTATTATATTGTTTTGGTCTTTCATCGGACTTATAAGCCATTTAGCATTATATCCTACCTAAGACTGCATTTTTATTGCGAAATTGCACTAGATTATAAGAGACAATACGATGATTAATTAGGAAAATAATAATGAAAATTTTTAAAATGTAGTGATTATATAAATTTATTATAATAATGTTTCATTTTTCTTACAATAAGAATTTTTAGTATACAAATAGTTTGTTAAATTTGAACATTTTTAGTAAAATAGAATATAAAATTATATATGTGAAAATAAATAAACATTGGACTTCAATATAAATTCAAAAGGAACTGCGAATGAGTGATCCTCACGATCTTTCGATTTGCCAACAAGCGGGTTTAAATTATCTTTTTGATATTTACAAATAAAAGATATCATTACTAATATATTATAGCTAGGTATTACGTGAGGGTACCATTGGTATAATTCAAAAAATCTACCAAATCCTAGTTAACATAACAAAAACAAACTTTACCAAATCCGTCCTAAGTTCCTAATCGGCTAATCCTATGCAGTGTCGGTCCGAGCATTTGTGAGGCCCTACACGAAAAATAAAATGAGGCCCAATATATTTATAAGTTTTAGGGTTAAAAATTTTTTTTGATCTATTTTTAGTAAATTATACAAAATAATGATATTTTGAATATTATTACATTTAAATTTAATTGTTTGGGCCCTATTTTATTTATTTTTTTCGAAAAGGCTTTAGTTTCTACCAAATATTTTCATTTTATGGGCTTAATTCTTTTTTTTTTTTTTCTAAAATTGGGCCTTTTTTCCAAAAAAAAAAGAAAAACCTTAAAAAAAAAAAAAAAAAAAGTGGTGCCCCAAGCGGTGGCTTGGGTGGCATGTCCTCCGGGCCGGCACTGATCCTATGGCTATGTGAGGGTAACTTGAACAACAAGTAACGCATGGTCCGACAAAAATAATATAAAAATATATGATATAGTTGGAATTCCCTTTTTAGTAGACGACTAACGCGGGGTTTTGGGTTTACTAATTTTTATGATATAGTTTTAGCTTAATACCATCAACTTGTTGAAGACTCAAAGTGTTCTTTGAATAAATTGACATTGTCTATTTTTCCCAAACAAAAGAAGAAAATTTATAACTATATTTTATAAATGAGCGAGTTTTATTTTGTCCACAAAAAAAAAAATGTCTTCATTTTTATATTTTTTCTTTTTTGATAAAGATTTTTTTTCTGCTAAATGATTTTTTTTTTTTGTTACGAAACTGACATAGAAGAAACTACAACATAAATAAATAAAGATATATATATATATATATAACATATTTTAAATAGTACACAGAAAAGTACACATTAAAAAATAGATCTCTTGTTGACAAAATATATCAACACATTCTTTGACCTTCAAATTAAATGATTCGGAAGTTTGAACATGGCTAGCTTGTTGGACTGTTCCAAGGATTATTCATTATTATATCAATCAATGTCACACTTTCATTATTTTTCTCGGCGAAATTTACTAAGCCAAATTTTAAATTAGTGTTGAATATCAACAATTACTGCATCTATCTAAGATATTTCTACAATATATATTTTTAATTTTGATATGTTAAAATATAATAATTTTTTAAAATATCTGATAGTTTAATAGAATTTCTAATTGCTAACAGTCAAAGCATAAAAGTCATACTTTTCCTGGTAGAAAGTAAATATATAATTCTTCTCTTTTTTCCAATTTGATAATACATTATTCTTTTTCTTACTTATAAATAATTTGCAACTATTAATTTATTATTACACTGTTTTGTCCTGAAGTTACGTTTTTTCAAAGTAGTTTCGCAGGTAGGCCTGAGCGTTCGGATATTTGGATCGGGTTTTTCGGGGTCGGGTTTTTTGGGTTGGGGTTTTCCAGGTTTAGAAAACTAAGACCCGTTCGGATATTTTAAAACTTTGGTTTCGGATCGGGTTCGGGTCGGGTATTTCGGGTTCGGATTCGGATTTATCCGTAGTATCCAAATATTAGAAATTTTGTATCCGATTCTATGCAAAGTATTGAAAAATACTCAAAAAAATCTATAAAACTCAAGTATCTATCTAGCCCAAAGTAGCTAAAAGCCTAAAACACCTGAAAATATCTTAACATCCGAATAATTTAGGTAGTTAAGTTATTACAAATATAAATATTACTAATATATTATAACTATGTACTTATATTTTAGGTATGTTTGGGTACTTGTTCGGCTTCAGATTCGGGTCGGGTTTGGGTTTGGATTTTTGGGTTGTGAATTTTAGAATCCGTTCGGATATTTTAAAACTTCGGGTTCGGATCGGATTTTTTGGGTCGGGTTCGGGTATTATGTCCCGGCTTATTCGCAGGCAAACATGAGTGGCAAATTCGTAATTACCTGACAACTCCAGGGTCATAAATATAAACAAAATCTTACGACTCCCTTAAATCGTCCCCTCCAATCAAAAATTCAGATCACAGTAAGATTCCCAAAAATTCGAAAAAACGTCTCAGGCCATGACATTGCAGAGAGGTTTGCCTCTTCTCTTGCAACAGTACACGGCGTTGTTCAAGAAAAACCTTCTTCTTTCATGGCGAAGCAAACGAGCCACGTTTCTTCAGCTCTTCGCTTCTTTCTTCTTCATCCTCCTCATCTTCTGTATCCAAGAAGCTATGGAGAAGAGCTTTGCGTCTTCCACGGCTCTTAAAACTGTTACGGATCCGACGGCGTTGATTTCGCCGCCGATTCCGCCTTGCGAAGATAAGTTCTTCGTGAATCTTCCGTGCTATGACTTTGTTTGGAGCGGAAATCGTAGCCCCAAGGTGACTCAGATTGTTAATGCGATTATGAAGAATAATCCTGGAAGACCAATTCCTACCGAGAAGGTATTGTAATCTTGAAATTGTGTAATTAAGCATTCTTCAGGAGAAATTAGAGTAGTTTTTGATTGTTATGTTAATGAAATTTTAGTGATGTCATAGATATAGAGAACCAAATTGTTAGGTTACAGTTTTGAGAATTAAAGTGGAAGTTAAATATGCAAATTGTAATTTTGTTTGTTTGTTTGTCTGTTAAGGTACGATCATTCGTGGATCCTGAAGCGGTAGATACGTGGCTTATGGCGAACCCGTTGCTAGTTCCAGGAGCTTTGCACTTTGTGGAAAGAAATGCTACAGTAATTAGTTATGGTATTCAAACTAATTCAACACCAGAGATGAATAGAGGAAGATTTGAAGATCCCACTTTCAAGTTTCAGATACCGCTTCAAATTGCGGCTGAGCGTGAAATCGCGAGGTCTTTAATAGGAGGTAATGCATATCTTGATGAATCTTTGTGTTTATGATATCAAGTGTTTATTTTTTGACATTGGGAAGTTGTTATTTTGTTTTGCAGATCCAAACTTTAACTGGGTTGTTGGGTTTAAGGAGTTTCCGCACCCAACTATCGAAGCTATTGTTGCGTTGGACACTATAGGACCGACTTTTTTCCTTGCTGTTGCGATGTTTGGTTTTGTTCTTCAGATTAGTTCTCTGATCACTGAGAAAGAGCTCAAACTTCGCCAGGTATAACGTTGTTTCTATGTAGGCTGTTACCAATGTATATATAGTACATTGATCCTTTGTTTTGCAACAGGCAATGACGATGATGGGTGTTTTTGACACTGCTTATTGGTTGTCATGGCTTACCTGGGAAGGAATTCTTACTGCCATATCAGCGCTTTTGACAGTTCTCTTTGGAATGATGTTCCAATTCGACTTCTTCTTGAAGAACAGTTTCCCTGTTGTCTTCCTACTTTTCATGCTTTTCCAGTTTAATCTGGTAAAACTCTCTTTCTAAAACTATTTTTTTTTACCTCTTTTGGCACATCAGTCAAATTATTATCTTCATTGTTTGTGCTGCTAGATTGGACTAGCATTCATGCTATCAGCTTTTATCAGCAAATCATCGTCAGCAACAACTGTCGGCTTCTTTGTGTTTCTGGTTGGGTTTGTAACACAGGTGCCGCTCTCATGCAAAAAAATAGATGGTATTTGTTTCTTAGAATTATGAACTGTTACTAATCATAAATATAACTGCAGCTTGCAACATCAACTGGGTTTCCCTATGCCAAGAAGTATTCTCGCAGGATCAGGTCGCTTTGGTCACTGTTCCCACCCAATACCTTTTCTCAGGGTCTAAAGTTGCTTGCTGATGCAACTTCAACTCCTCAAGATCCTGGTATTAGTTGGAGTAAGAGAGCAGAATGCGGACCCAACGATGACATTGATTGTGTGATTACAATTGTACGTAACACTCTAAACAAGTTCCATCTAATAACTTTGTTGAATCTTTCTCTGATCATTACTTGGTTTTGGCAGAATGATATCTACTTGTGGCTTCTTGGGACATTCTTTTTGTGGTTTGTTTTGGCTCTTTACTTCGACAATATTACTCCAAATGCGTCTGGTGTAAGGAAATCTATCTTTTACTTTCTAAAACCTGGTTACTGGACCGGTAAAGGTGGAAACCGAGTAGAAGGTACTTTCTCCTCAGTCTTGTTTCTGTATTCATTAGTAATTTTTGTGTCAAAAATGTGATCCTAATTAAACGTTTCTACTCTGAACAGAAGGTGGAATTTGTAGTTGTACTGGTTCAGTCCCACCTGTGGATCACATTACCCCAGATGACGAAGATGTCCTTGAAGAGGAAACTTTAGTTAAACAACATTCAGTGGATGGTTTAGTTGATCCCAACATTGCAGTTCAAATACGTGGTCTTGCAAAGACTTATCCTGGGACGACGAATTTTGGATGCTGCAAATGCAAGAAAACTCCCCCTTTTCATGCTCTGAAGGTATTTCTTTGAAGAAAACATAAGTGAAAAACTGACCCTTTTACGTTTGTTGATTGCAATTTAACATGAAAGAGTCTGTTTTTACCAAAGATGTTCAAGAAATGACAATCTTACCATAGATCTATCTATAGCTAGGACTTGGATGAAAGTTTACTGATTATTTCTCCATGTGGTTTCGTCTGCGATACGTGTTTCATTTATTCAGGGGTTGTGGATGAATATTGCCAAAGATCAGTTATTCTGTCTTCTTGGACCCAATGGCGCAGGAAAAACAACTACTATCAATTGTTTGACAGGCTTATTTCCAGTTACTGGTGGTGATGGTAAGACGAAGGTTGCACTTATTCTTGTTTCTGTTTCATAGAAGCTAGTGTCTTAAGCATTTTCACCATACTAAAATCTCTCTGATTGGCTTTAATAGCACTAATATATGGAAATTCTATAAGAAGCTCTGTTGGTATGTCCAACATCCGTAAAATGATTGGAGTTTGTCCTCAGGTGGGCCATTTTTTTGTTGCTATCTTCTTCTGACATTTGCCTTAGTTACAGACATTTGTTATGCTTTAAATGATTTATGACATTCCCATTCCACAGTTTGATATTCTTTGGGATTCTTTGTCTGGTGAAGAACACCTCAAACTCTTTGCTAGCATCAAAGGGCTGCCACCTTCATCGATCAACTCGGTATGTCACCAAATGGTAGAAATGAGTCGGTTGGTTTCTTTAACAGTTTCCGCTAATAATAGATGCTTAAAATGTATTTTCAAATTCAAATCAAGATTACTTTTCCTCTTTTGTTTTTAAAATGTGTTTTTGCCGTCATACAGATGGTGGAGAAGTCACTTGCGGAGGTAAAACTGACAGAAGCAGGGAAAATCAGGGCAGGAAGTTACAGTGGAGGAATGAAACGCCGACTCAGTGTTGCAGTTTCACTCATTGGTGATCCAAAGCTGGTCTTCCTGGACGAACCGGTTTGTTACTTTCTATATTCTATTGATGTTTATTTATCTCAGTTCCGCTTCCTTTACACATGCGTGCTTGTCTTACATGGGTTGCAGACTACTGGCATGGACCCGATCACGAGGAGACATGTGTGGGATATTATACAGGAAACCAAGAAAGGCCGCGCCATTATACTAACGACACATTCGATGGAAGAAGCTGATATCTTAAGTGATCGAATAGGGATAGTGGCTAAGGGTAGGCTCCGCTGCATTGGAACATCGATCAGGTTGAAATCCCGCTTTGGCACAGGTTTCATTGCTAACATTAGCTTCGTCGAAAGCAACAACCAAGAAAACAATGGCAATAACCACAATGGGGAAAATGGTGCTGTCGATTCACGCGAGCCAGTGAAGAAATTGTTTAAAGATGTGAGTCTGCTTTAGCACCCGGTTACTGTTTCCATTTTCAAATGCTGTTAGATTAATCCAACACCCTCTGAACTGTGATATTTTTCTTGCAGCATCTCAAAGTCAAACCAATAGAAGAAAACAAGGCCTTCATGACCTTTGTTATACCACACGACAAAGAGAATCTTTTGACAGTAAGCATTTACACAACTTATCATATATAGAGTTTAACTGATTTCACAACTTCTCTGTTTTTTTTTTTTTTTTTGTAACAACGAAACAGGGCTTTTTCGCTGAGCTGCAAGACAGAGAAGAAGAATTTGGAATTTCAGATATCCAGCTTGGTCTCGCAACTCTTGAAGAAGTCTTTTTGAACATAGCAAGAAAAGCTGAACTCGAAAGCGCTGCAGTTGATGGAACAATGGTCACTCTCGATCTAACATCTGGTTCATCAGTCGAGGTAAATAACTTACATCTCATGCATTCATATCTATAGATAGAGACTTATATAACTCCCGAGCTGATCCGATCCAATCCAATCTACAGATACCGGTGGGGGCAAGATTTATTGGGATACCGGGAACAGAATCTGCAGAGAATCCACGAGGAATCATGGTGGAAGTGTATTGGCAACAAGACGAGTCAGGTTCATTGTGCATCTCAGGACACTCCACGGAGATGCCAGTTCCTGAAAATATTCCCGTGACAGATCCGGTGGCACCAGGACATGGCGGAGTAAACTTGTTGGGAAGGAGAGGCCGAAGACAAGTTCAGGGAATTGTGATTGATCCTGAGTTTGCCAGCTTTGTTAGAAGCGGTTCCACATCTTCCAGACGCTTTTCGTTGTGAAATGAAATATAATGCGCCCGCGCAGACACAAACACACTGTTCTTAACTTACTGGACTAAGCTCTACAGGTTTTTCTGATTCGTTGTTGTAGTTTTATACGAAAAAATCACAGGCGTGTTTATTTAAATTTGTGTTTTACGTAATTATGATGTAAATTAGAAGGAAGTTTGTGATTAAAAACAAATATTTAACACTGCTATGTTCATTTCACAGTATGATTAAAGATCATAAATGAGTAAGGTCCAGTTCCACAAGGCTGGGAAGTAACTCTATCCACTTAAGGTTATATGTTTCAGCAGCATTGACTTGTCAGCAAGATTGTGAATTATTGTCTTTTGATTTACAGAAACATATTTACATACAACACTAAGAAAGCAAAATTCTGTTAATCAACATAGAGCTAACAAACGACTTCTCTATATATGCATACAGCCACGCTGCGACTGTAAATTTATTGGTCTTGATTCTTCCGGTCCCTGAAACATTTTTAAAGAACCAACATTGTGGAAGTTGTGTATGATAAAAAAAAGAATTAACGTTTTGAAAATGTGTCTACGATACAATGTACCTTTTGTCCGAAAGATTTGATGATTTGAACCAATAACCTATCTCCGGCTATAGTCCTCAGTCGTTGAATCAACTCAAACCGTAAGATTCTACTTTCCTGTGAGTGGCAAAGGAACCAACAATGAGAATATAATGTTGTGATGAGGATGAAAAACAGAGAGCCAAGAAAGTGGACTTACTTGATATTCTTTATAGTGTTTCTGAATGAGACGGATTTGCGACGGGTTTAGAAACTTCGATATCGATTTGATCAGTATTGGAAACAAAATCCAAGGCGATTTCGGGTTCTCTGCATAGAAAAAAAAAACATACCAAATCAGCAAGTGAACAACTTGTGAATTAAAGAAGAGAGGAACTAACATTTTTGTGTGCTTACTACTTCTCAAGATGGATGGAGTTTTGATGCAAACAACAAACTCAGGCAAAACATGAGTGTTCATGTGTGTGCTCCAAATCATATACTTCTTCGGAGATATTAAACTGTCTACACCTGAATCAAACTCTGGAGAACTCGGATACGATTGTGCGGTCGAGCCCATAACCTCTGATTTTCCCATAATAATTCTTGAAAACAACAAGAATCTAGTCCCGTCTTCGTTACAAGATGATGAAGGATCTATCATACTATACAAAAAAAAAAAAATGATTAATGATGAGACTCATTGAAGATTATGAAACGCAAAATGAAAAAAAAAATGTAATAAGTGTTTTGTTGTTGTTTACCATTGAAGAGAAGCATTGTCTGGTGAGAGACATAAGCCATTGTTGTTCCTAAACTGGCTAAATCCATACATTAGAATCGCTTTTAACTCTTCCTTCTCCACACCGCAACAACCGTATTTCACTCTCGCTGCTTCACCAGCAGCAGCTTTGTTTCCACCGCATTCGCAGTAACTTCCGCTTTTCTTTGCCACAGACTCAGTGTATATCTGAAAGGCTTTGAGCTTAGCTTGTCCTAATGGTGTTTTAAATCCGTTCTTGAGAATTGATACAATCTGAAATTGATTGCCTAAGTGAGAAGTTAGCTTAGATTGGCAATGACCATAGATTAGCTTGTAAGCTTTATCGTCTTTAGGCAACTCCATTAGCCCGAGCTCGTTAGCTATTGAAGAATGTTGCTGATCACAGTCAGAGACCTCTTCATTGCTTCTGCTTTCAGATGAATTTGTTGATCCTTGTTGTTCTTCGTAGTGGTTTAGCTCTGTCGCCGGGAAATGAAGACGGTTTATCGGTGTTTCTTCGCTTTTTGTGTAATCCATTGCTGAGAAACAAAAGGAAACACAGAATCAGACTCAAAATCAAGAACTCGTTAAAAAGAAACCAAGAATTCAGAATCAAAACCTTTTTGAAGACTTTAGATGAATGATGATTTATAGCTTTAGTGTAGTTTTTGAGATGAGAGAGCACAAATGTTTGAATTTAAATTGCAGAGAGACTAATCATATATATATGAATAGTTCAAAAATACAGTTAAGGAAAAGTTTTTTCTTACTGTGTTCTTATTTGTTTAAGTCTTCCTGTTTTGGGTTTTGTTGTCTGTTTTCGCTTTTTTTATTCTTTCTATTTAATTATTTTTAGTGTCTTGTCTTTTCCTTTTGCCGTGAAGGAGAAGTATCCACATTCACACGAATACATTAATCCCACCCTTTTTTTTTATTGTCACGATTACCTTAATCCCCACTTAATTAACAAAACTATGAACTTGTAAATATCATACATAATCGAATTTGCAATAAATACATTAATGAACAGTATCTTGAAAATTTTAGCCTTTTTATTCAAGCAAAACTTCTAATCTTGTGGACAAAAGTATTATTATTATTAACCCATTGTATGGTAGGTATGACTTTTGAAACCGCTTACTCCGATGTAATCAAGATGTTAGAAAATTCCGAGGATTGACATGCTTTCCCACATCAGCTTGTGGAGTTTCTTGTCATTAACATACAATTTATTATTTTTAGTTACATTTTATCTCACATTTTTTTTTTCAAACCGCTGAGAATTTCAGGCTTTTAAACCATAATCTGTTTCGATAATATTCAAAAAAAAAATGTCAGTTTAAAGAATGTCACTCTATCTCAAAAAAAAAATTTGAATTCAGAACACAAAAAATATCTACTCCTTTGTACCACCAGTACATTTTGGGACCGATTGGTAACGACTGTTAATTCTCGCTGTAAAGACTTTGACTGTAAAAACTTTTGCTGTAGAAACTTTGGCTGTAAAGACTTTGACTGTATAAATTTAATAACCGATTGGTAAAACCTATGACTTTAGAAATTACGATTTTAAATAACCACCAAATATATGGGAAAATGGATCTTAAAAGAACAAGAGAAAAGATTTAAATGTAAATCTACTGAATTTTTCAAAAATTAATTTATTTGTGAAAGTTATAAGGATTTACATATATATGAGAAAAAAAAAAAAAAAACTATAAGCTTTTAGGTTATTTATTTCTAAAGCCTTATTTACGTGACTTAAAAAGAAACTGAAAGCAAAGAGTAAAAATAAAAAAGAGACTTTGAAGGCTTTAAAATTTATTGAAACCAAAAAAGCTTGATTGGTAAAAATAAACTTTTAAAAATTTTAAAAACTTTTTAAAGTCTTAAAAGTATCATCCAATCACCCCTTTTATCTCACGTTCTTTAAATATTATTTATAGTTAGGATTCGAGATGTACACTTTCTTTAATAAGTAAGTTCTCGTGCTTTGGACACGTATCTTGATAAAATATTTTAAGTTGACAAAAAGAGGAAGATAAAAACCTCTAATTAATTCTTGAATAAGATGATTAATTATTTTAGGTATGTAGTCTACCAGTTAATTTTCATTCAACCCATCAATGTATTTAGTTATTACTCTCTTCGTTTAAAATACTTGTCGTTTTAGCTTTTTAGTGTATTTTTGTAAAAGAATTCCAAATATAATCTCAATTAAACTAATACAATATACTCTCTTCGTTTCATAATATAAATCGTTTTAGGTAAAAACACGCCGATTAAGAAGATCTACTTTTAAAAAGTTCAACCAATCATAAAATACACTGCATAATATAAATAATCATAAAATATTAAAGTAATATATAATTTGCATCGAAACTCGAAAACGACTTATATTGTGAAACAAATTTTTTTTTCAAAACGCCTTATATTATGAAACGGAAGGAGTATAAAAATTTAAAAACTGAATATTTAAATTTTAATATTAATCTTACGTTTTGAAATAACTTAAGGGTCACCAAAGAAAAGAAGAAGGTGACGATTCAATTTACCATGATCTCTACTAGAGTGATATATGGGCCGGTTATTACTGATTAACTCTGGTTAACTACATCTTGGTTTAATGTAAATACTATATAAGTTTATTTCATCATTAGTTTACACTTAAGCTTTGTAACAACATTTTATCATAATAAAGTTTGTTAAGTTTCTGTTAAGCTCTTCTTCGATCCTGAGATTTCGATGATCGGAATCCAATATGGTATCAGAGCCTAATCGTCTTCTTCCGCAATCATATGTTCGCGGGAGATGAGCTTTCCAGTTTGTTCTTGGCTTCATTTGTTCTTTGATTTCTTCTTTGTTCGAGATTTGCGATTTCTTCATTTTGTTCACCGGAATTTTAATTTTCCATTCTGTTTCTTTTAATCTCTCTTTTGATGACCTCTAGTGCTGACGATTCTTGTTTTCTTTACTCAATCGTCACACTTTTCTTTGTAATTTATTGTTTTTAAACTGAGAATGGGATCTTATGTTAAATGGTGCCGATCAACCACGTTACCCAGCGGATCAATATGATAATCCCTATTATCTACACAGTGCAGATCACACAGGTCTTGTTCATGTTTCTGATCATTTCTTGAATTCTTCTGATTTTCCGTCTTGGCGTTTTTCTGTTTTGATGGTATTGAATGTTCGTAATAAATTAGGATTCATCAATGGTATGATTGTTCTGATTGATCATCGAGATTATGGTGCTTGGTCACGTTGCAATGACATTGTTTCAACATGGTTGTTGATAAAAAGATTGGTCAGAGTTTACTCTTTATAACAACTGCAGAAAGAATTTGGAACAATTTGTTAACTCGTTTTAAACAAGATGATGCTCCAAGGATATTTGATATTGAACATAAATTATATAAGATTGAACAAGGAGCTATGGATGTATTTACTTCCTATACAACTTTACTTAATTTGTGGGAAGAGCACAATAACTATGTAGAGCTTCATGTGTGTACATGTGGTCGTTGTGAATGTGATGCAGCTGTTAAATGGGAGAAAATACAACAGAGAGGTAGGGTGACTAAGTTTCTTATGGGGTTGAATGAAAGTTATGATTAAACTAGGTGTCATATCCTGATGTTAAAACCCATACCTACTATAGAGGAAGCATTCAACGTTGTGACTCAGGAGAGAGACACAAGAGTGTTAAGCCACCTACTAGAGTTGATAATGTTGCTTTCCAAAGCACTACTTCTATGATGAATGATGAAGAGAGTGCATATATTGTTGCTTATAACACTGTAAGACCATCACAAAAGCCGGTATGTTCTCACTGTGGGAAAGTAGGACATACAGTTCAAAAGTGTTTCAAGATTCTTGGATATCCACCAGGTTATAAAGCAGGGACTATAGGATATACTTACAAATGTAATACTCCTTTACAGCCTCGGATGCAGATGATGCAAATTCAGCCTAAAATGCAACTGCAGTCTCATATGCAAATGATGCCTTATGCTAATTCTATGCAAAAAAGCTAAGGCAGTGGCTCATGTGCATACTGAGAATGGTACTTATCCATCAGAAGGATATATGAAAGTTCTTGTACTGATGAATGGTTCTTATGGTACTTTGGACTAAGGAACCAAAGTACTTGTGGTAATAGACAAAATCTCCAAGAGTTTAGTCCGCAACAAATTGAACAAATGGTTCACAATTTGCTGCGGACTAAACTCTTGGAGCCTGTAACTTCTGATGGACTAAGGAACCAAAGTACTTGTGGTAATAGACAAAATCTCCAAGAGTTTAGTCCGCAATAAATTGAACAAATGGTTTCACAATTTCAAGCTCAAGTTCAAGTTTCAGAGCCTGTAACTTCTACGAGCACACCTAGTCCTACGGCTACTATCTCAGAACATGGTTTAATGGCTCATACATCAACTTATGGTATTGAATTTCTATTTTCTTCTACTAGTCTTAAGTTTGAAAACAATAATCTCACTTTTCAAAATCACATTCTTTCTTCTTTTCAAAAAATTTTGCCACGTGATGCTTGGATTATAGATAGTAGAGCTTCTAGTCATGTATGTTCAAATCTAGCCATGTTTAGAGAATTAAAACCAGTTTTGGTGTTACTGTCACTCTTCCAAATGGTACTAGCGTATCCATTACACATACAAGCACTGTTTGCATTACCAAGACACTCATTTTACATAATGTTTTTCATGTACCGGCTTTCAAATTCAATCTGATTAGTGTGAGTTCTTTGGTCAAAACATTATCTTGTTCTGCTCATTTTTATGTTGATTGTTATTTGATTCATGAACATTCTCAGGGCTTGATGATTGGGAGGGGTAGAATATATCACAACTTATACATTCTTGAGACAGAGAATACTTCCCTCTCTCCATCAACACTTGCTGCTTGTTCTTTCTCTGGATCTGTTATAGATGGAAAGCTTTGGCATCAAATATTAGGGCATCCATCGTCTATTTTTTTACATAAACTTGTTAGTGTCATTCCTTTTCTTAAGTCTTTTAGTTCAGAAAATTCTACATGTTCTATATGTCCTTTAGCAAAACAGAAGAGATTAGCATATATTTCTCATAACAATTTAGCTCCAAAACTATTTGATCTTGTTCATTTGGATATATGGGATCCTTTTAGTGCTGAATCTGTTGAAGGTTTTAGATACTTTCTTACTTTGGTAGATGATTGTACAAGAACCACCTGGATTTATATGTTAAGAAATAAAAAGGATGTTTCAACTGTCTTTCCTGTTTTTGTTAAACTTGTTTCAACTCAGTTAAATGCAAAAATAAAAGTTATTAGATCTGATAATGCACCTGAGCTTGCTTTCAATGAATTAGTTAAAGAACAAGGCAAGATGCATTATTTTTCTTGTGCTTATACTCTTCAACAAAACTCAGTTGTTGAGAGGAAGCATCATCATCTTTTAAATGTTGCTAGCTTTTTCAGTCTAATGTGCTTCTTCAGTATTGGAGTGATTGTGTGTTTACAACCGTTTTCTTAATCAATCGTTTACCATCACCATTGCTTAACAATAAGTCGTCTTATGAGCTTTTACTTGACAAATTACCTGATTACTTGCTTTTAAAGAATTTTGTTTTTTTGTGTTATGTTACAAGTTTCAACTACTCAAAATGAAAGAACCAAATTTTCTCCTAGAGCAAGATCATGTGTTTTTCTA